TTACTATCTACCTGGGCTGCGTGTTCAGAGAATTTGAATTTTGGGTTGCGTGTTCAACTTTCAGTTAATTTGTGGGCTGCGTGTTCACTATCTACCTGGGCTGCGTGTTCAGAAAATTAGAGTTTGGGCTGCGTGTTCTACTCTCAATCAGTGTGGGCTGTGTGTTCACCTTCAACTTGAGCTACGTGTGATGAGACACATGTCAGAACTTGAAACCGAAGTCCCGACGGAGCAATTTCGCGACCGGAAGTGTACTTTTCTTGAACTTTTTCAGGTCCCGGGAACTCCGATCTTCCTCAAAATTTGCAGAGAGCTAGGTGAGCATGTGGGGATGATGGCCAGCCGTTTATCTTCCCAAGGGGAGGTGGCCAACCGATTTCTGCAAAAGCTAATGGCTGGCCGGCCATTTCTGCAAAAAGCAGATGGCTGGCCAGCTAGAAAAAGGGGCCGGCCGGCCATGCCCTTTTCCCGGGGGCATTTTGGTCTTTTTGCCTCCTTTTGCATGCCTTTTCAACTAAGGCTTGAGGCCTATAAATGGCAGCCGAGCCTCACTTCATTTCTTGCCTCTTTCAACACTCTTCTCTTCAGTTTTGAGTTTCACGCGCGTTTTCCAACATCCCGCGCAAATTGTTTTCGCAAAAACATTCAGTTTCAAGCACTTTGAAGTGATTAAATTCCGGCTTCGGAGCTTCTTTTTGCATCTTCACCACTTGAGGTAAGCTTGTCTCAATATTTGGAATATTTTCTCGGGGGTTGACTTTTGTTGACTTTTCATTTCCCGAGAGTTGACTTTTGTTGACTTTTTCCAATTTTTGGCCCATTTTGCTCATTTTTGCAGATCCTTTGGAAATGGAGGGCAATTCTCCTCACGGCGTAGGTTTTCCAGGTGCCGGCGACGATTTCGATCCCATGACTCTACCTCCGAGGACCTGACCATTCATTCCCGGGAGGTACCGTCCAGCAGCACACGTCCTCCCGCGTGCTGTCTTCCGTCACTTCACCAACTTTGATGAGCGAGCACCCGCGGATCTGCTTCTCAGAGAGCCGGAGCAGCATCTCTCTCACGAGGCCCGAGAGGTATTTACCTCATCTTTTGTATTTTACATTTCGCACCTTCGCCATGCTTGAACATGCAGTTTAGCTTATGACATAGTACCTTGCTTACATCCTGAACATGTAGTTTCAACACTTGAATTTCTGAACACCCAGCTCGTTAATTAATTCCGAACACACAACCCACATTAGAACACACGGCTCAAACACCGATTTGTCGACCATACGGCCCGAATTCGAAAGTGAACACACAGCCCACAATGTAAATTTTCTGAACACGCAGCCCAGGTAGATAGTGAACACGCAGCCCACAGTGTAACTGAAAGTTGAACACGCAGCCCAAATTTCAAATTTTCTGAACACGCAGCCCAGATAGATAGTGAACACGCAGCCCACAATTTTAACTGAAAGTTGCATGTAGCTTATTCCACTTCATCGGCATACAGCCCATTTCATCTCATTGGCACACAGCCCATCCCATCTCATTGGCACACAGCCCATTTCATTTCATTGGCACACAGCCCATTTAATTTCATTGTTGATACATGTATTCATTTTGAATGCAGGTTTGCTCCCGCAGTGTGCGAGGGTATGGTTCCACCATTGCGCGGGATTGGTATGCCGAGCTCCCAGAGGGTGTTCGAGACTTAGTCGACTTGGCAGGGTTTGGACCCTTCTGCGTCGGGTTGTCACGTTGTCCTGCCAGGAGGACACTGATGGCGGCCTTGGTAGAGAGATGGTGGGACATCACCAACTCCTTTCATTTCTCTGCTACCGGGGATATGACCATGACCCCTTTTGACTTCGCTGTGTTGACTGGCTTAGACATAGGAGGTTGGTCCATCCCTTATGATGAGGATATGGGCGAGTGGGAGGCCGCTTGGATGTATCTATTGGGGGCTCGCCCGCCTGTTGACAGGGTTTCTGGGAGAGTCCGATACACTTGGTTCTCTTCCCACTTCCGGCGGGCGGAGATGGTGCCCGAGACTCCTGAGGAGACGGAGCAGTACGCCCGTGGTTTCCTTATGTTCCTCTCTCATTTCCGGCGGGCGGAGATGGTGCCTGAGAGTCCCGAGGAGACGGAGCAGTATGCCCGCGGTTTCCTTATGTTCCTCTTCGGGACTACCCTGTTCGCCGATAGAGGGAACACAGTTGGGCTATATTTGTTGAGCGCTCTAGTCGACCTATCACAGGTCCGTCGATATGACTGGGGTGGCACTGGCTTGGCTACCCTTTATTTTTATATGAGCGCGACTTCCCGCGGGCGGGGCGATTTACTTGGCGGCTACTGGAGAGCCTGGGAGGTACCTTCTGTCCCCTTGATTTACATTTCTGCTTTTCATTACTTGTACATTGTACATTGCACACACAGCGCACTTTTACAGTCTGTATTTTGCTCTCAGCATTTCGTACTTACATCCTGCACTGCTTTTCTCAGCTATGGTTGTATGTATACTTCCCATCATTAGCCCCAGAGCTGGAGGTGGTAGGGATTCCCGTGACCCCATATTCATTGATATTCGAGGGCCCGCACCGGCCGAGACCTCGAGAGACCCTCCTTCGCCTGCGACAGTACTTCGACACTGTGCGACATTCAGAGGTACCTCAGAACTTTCAGTTCTTTTCATTTTTGTCTTTGATTTGCTCTGTATATTTTCGATTTCTGATTGGTTCATGCATTTATTATCCGCAGATTACATGGCAGCCCTGGGTGTCCCTGGGTGATGGTCCCCGACTTCAGTATACTGGAGCGTCGAGCATTTCCCAGTACAGGGTCCTGCTTGAAGGGCCGGTTGGCAGGGCCTGGTTCCTGGGGGAGCGCTTTCTGCGCCAGGTATGGGGATATCTTTCTCAGGATCCTCCCGCAGTACCCCCAGCCAGTATGCGGACTGCTGACAGGCTCTCTTACTCGGAGGTAGTCGGCGCCATGCTAGGCAGTGATGCTTTATTACATGTTGCGGAAGGGGACTACGCCACTTACCGTCACATATATTTGATGCCTCCATTGACGGAAGCTCGTATCCCGATGATGAGGCCTGCCGGTATGTCATCCTCGGGCCAGGCTCAGGCTCGGGCTGCAGATGCCCCTTCTACTAGCAGGGCCGGTACATCTAGAGGTGGGAGTAGACCATTTCCTCCGACTCCGTCGATTCATCCTCATCTCGGATGGCCAGATATGCCTACTGAGTTGATGGCGTGGCAGTATGGGGCTAGCTCTCCGACTCCGATTCCACTAGAGCCTCCGATGCCCAGTGATCGATACGCCATTGATCCGGACTCACCGCCGGTATGCTCCACTTTTTTCATTCATCGTTCAGATGTTTAGACACTCATTTGTTCACTGATGATTATGAGCTCATTTTTGCAGCCATCGCGCGGGTATATAGAGGAAGTGGTTGGACTGGTGGCCACACTCGAGGGCATGGTCCTACGGAGGGAGGCACAGTTGTCCGTCGCGGGCATTCAGGTACCCTTCAGTCTTCTGGCATTTATCATACTCCTGATGACATGCTGATTTCTACTGCATCGATAGACCACTTGTGTAGAGCACATCTGACACACACCCCACTTGTACACTGTATTTACATGCACCCACTTCAATGTATCCTTTGCTTGTATCTGCATCTGATATATACTTGGACTGATGTATTTGAATTGATTTCTTTGTTTTCAGATGCCTTCATGGTCCGGTCAGCCGCAGACCAGGCCACCTGGGCCTTATTGGGGAGCTGGGCCATCTGGGCCTTTTCAGGAGGCAGGGTCATCTCGGCCTTCCCGAGGAGCCAGGCCATCTAGGCCTTTTCGAGGAGCTCGAGGCGGGCCTGTCCGCAGACGTAGGGCTCACGTTGTGGAGGTGGAGCCTGATGAGGAGGAGGAGGATGCTGAGGAGGAGGAGAGGCTACCGATCGTCAGTTCGAGACGTCTGCCGGGGAGGAGGAGGAGGAGGCTGAGGGGGATCCTGAGAATGACGGCTCCGACTCAGATAGATGATGATAGTGGTGTGGAGATTGTCCCGCAGAAGAGGACGAGGCGTGCTTCTCGTTCCCGTTCCCGAGGACTTTGATGTTGCTATTTTCTGCTTTATTTTTCTTTTTGCTAGTAGTTTGTAGCACTTTGCACATTGTTAGGCAGTTTTATTTTTGTTGTAAAACTTGTACCTTCGTTTGTTGTAAAGCATGATGAAATGAAATAGCTTTTGAAAAGATGTTTGTATTTTAAACTTTTAGCATCGTATCGCGTCAATTTATTTCGCACAAAAAAATGAAATTGAATGGGAATGTGCCTTGTGTAATCACCAAGTCAGGTAGTGAACCGACGCAACAAAATAAACAACTCAACTCACTAAGATATAACAGGACCTTAGAAAGTTTACAACTCGATAAGCAAAATGTAACAACGCAAATAAACAAGACTTAAAACAAAGATTGCTTGAACAGAACGTAATGACTCAAAAACACGAAACATGTCCGCTCGACAAACAACTCGATAAGCAAAACAACAACTCGATAAACAAAACTCAACAACAACAAAGTGTACTTCTGACGATCTGGGCATCGGAACGCATCCGAAACAGAGGGAGATAAAGGCCTTCGACTTTCCCGTCGCATGGAAATGCTTGGAACTTTTCCTCGAAGAGTAAAACAGGGCCAAGGAGATACACTGTAGCATTGCCAGCCATCCCTGGGAGCCGGCCGGCCATTTTTGCAAATGGCTGGCCGGCCAGAAAAAGTGGCTGGCCGGCCATTCAGTCCTGTAGCCACCAGATTTTTGACACGTGTCCTCGTGAATAGTGTTTTTCCTTCTATAAAAGCCTCAACTTTGGGAACATTCATTTCATCTTAGTTTTAGACAAAGATGGAGGCGTTTCTTGCAGAAAATGTCACATCTTGGATTTCTTCTCTAGATGGCTCGGAAAAGCTGAATTTCCGGGGTTTCGGCTTGAATGCACTATTCACGCTGAGCCGTACTCCGCTACAGCTTCCTTTTCTCCATGCCGCGGCAAGGTTCTGGAATCCAGTGACGCATGTTTTTAGCTTCGGAGGCCAAGAGGTATGTCCCACTTTCGAAGATTTTCAGGTTTTGATGGAGTCTGAATGCTCTGAAGTGATCTTGCCCCAGCTCCGTTTTGGCCATGCTCAGGCTTTAGGGCGGATGTGTGGGCTCACGGCGCATGATGCTCGATCTCTGATTTGCAGTGGGGAGCTGGACATCCTCGGCTTGATCCATCGTTTTTCCGACGCTGGTGACCGCAGCAACCATTATTGGCAGCGTTTCCGGCAACACGCCCTCTGCTTGTGTTTGTTATCCCACTTTCTGCTTTCCTCGGGTTTCGGCGGGGCTAGCATTCGCCTGATTGAAGTCGCCCAAGGCTTGAGAGAAGGAAAGAGCTGTATTGCCATGACCTTGGCCGAGACACTGATGGGCTTAGATTCTGTCTATCGCCGGGAGGCGACTAGGTTTGCTGGGAGTCCCCTGCTGCTGCAGGTAATGTTTCCCACCCAACCTTACATATATATTTGCTCACATCACTCGACCCTCAGGCTCGGTTTTTCTCACAAAACCCTTGTCTCACTTTTCTCTCATCGTACATCTCTCTGTTCTTTATTCTCTCATTTTCCATCCCTCCCCTAGGTATGGTTAATGGACAAGTTGCAGGTTGTGGACTCTTGCCCGGCTTATTCAGCTCGAGGTTACTTCTTTTGGCAGCGCCTAGTTAATGCTCTTGACGAGAGGTGGTGGTTCGATTGGATGTGCAATTTGTCCGCAAACGACATTGCCTGGCGTTGTCCTTGGCTCAACCTCCCGGCAATGAGCTATAGTATGTCAC